AAAGAAAAAAAAAGAAAAGAAAAGAAAAGAAAAATAAACAATAAAAAGAATGGCATAAAATTTCAAAGCATTGTGGGAAAGTAACAGTGGTTAGTAGGTTATGTATTATCATCTTCAAAGTGGTTGCTCAGATTACAAGATACTGGCATGAAAAATTGATCAAACATTACAGGCATAAAGCTTTCTTTTCAATGAAGTAAGAGCAATCAGTTGTATAACTATCTTAGCTCTTCTGTGTGTAGTTAAGATAACTTTCTTAACTATCTTATTTTTTTTTTCCTTCTAAGTACAGTATGATTTACATGTCAGGCAGCCTGGTAGATGCATATATAAAACAAGTATGATGGGGTTTAGGAGAAAGGAAACCGTTCTTTCTCCCCAGTAGAACTAAGAAATATTTCCTACACATGATACACTCAGAAATGAGTCTGTAAGTATGTGCATAGAGGAAAAGATGAATAAAAGAGCTTGTATAAAATTCTGAACACAGCATTTTTCTGGAATTTCTGGAGTGTGTTAGTTTTCTTTATCACTTCTTTTTAAAGATGTATCAGTGGGGGCTGTTATAGAAATGACTTTGTGTGGATGTTCTGAGAAAGCCCGGCAGTATGAAGAAGACAGTGCCAGGGGAACAAGGGCATGTGAGTGACAGGATTGGAAACTAAACAGTGGAAGAATTAGTGCCCTTGCCCCAGGCCACTTTCAAGTTCATTGCTAGCAATGTTAAAAGAGAAGTGAGAAGGACAGGTACCCAGAGGAACTCCAGACATATGCTAGAGGGATCCTTCTAGTGCTCTGTAGCCTGAGTAAAGGAGAAGGGGTGGATTTTTTAATGCTAAGCATATGCATGACAATTTAACTACCCCTGGGAACACTGAGCAAGGAGAGGGGTGGATTCCTGAGGAAACATGCTCTCTGGACTGAGGGGAACCTGGGAAGGAAGCTGCACAGCAGGCACAGTCTCCCTAGGGGCCAGTGGAGGAGCCACATTTCCAGAGGGAGGAAAGGGAACTGTTCTGCTACACCCAGAAAAGAGTTCAGAGCACAGACTCAAAATTCAAGCACCCTTGGGATCAATGGTTAGGACACTAGTAAACTGCAATTTTGATAAAGAAGTAATGGTGGAAAACAGAGTGCAAGTATGAACAAAATAGTGTCAAACACTAGAGAAGTCTCTGGAAGGAGCTTCGTTTAATTTTTTTTGAATTGAAATATACTTTATTGGTACATTTACAGCATACAATGATTACTTTCCTTGTGGGGAGTTGGTACACATACATGGCACACGTCATTTTCACCCTCTCTCTCCTACCTCTTTCACTTGGTCCTCTTCTCTTATGAAAGAGATCGATAGATGCAAGGTTTCTAAAGTCTTTACTTCTGCTTTAAAGTTTATTTATTTGGGAGGTTTTTTTAAAGAGACATTGTGCAATATTTAAGCTTGTGTGTCAGATTGGTTTTAAAAAGAAGGTGGAGCCAGGCCTGGTGGTGTGTGCTGCAGTGGTGAGTTCATGATGAAGATGACATAGTGAGGCTTTCTCTCTCCCTCTCCCCCTCCCTCCCCCTCTCCCTCCCCCTCCCCCTCCCCTTCCTTAGTCCTTCTTCCTCTCCTTCTCCCACTCCCTCTCCCTCTCCCCCTTTCCCGCCTTCCCCCCTCTCTGACAAGACTCTACAAAGAAGTGGCTCAGGCGTGAAATTTCCCATTATACTGAAGGGAGGTATGAATTTTAACACACTGGCAGACAAAAAAAGCTAATGTGAAACCAATATATTGAAAATTCTCTACATTGAGGTGCTTAAGGAAACAACACAGTTCAGGCAAAGGTCTCAGCACTCCCCAAGCGGTACACTGGACTCCTGCCCACAGTGTTTCCCTTGTACACAAGAAACTCCTCACTTCCTCCACACCACCACCATTCATACTAATTCAGAAAGGCAGGCTGTATTCTCAAGTGAGCTACTTACTAAGTAGATATGTCAGAAAGCACTAATGAAAGCCATTGGGAAAGATGGTGGAACAGTCATCTATTAGAAAATATTACAAAATGAAAATGGTGTCAGTTTTCTTGCTAGAGATGGGGTGGCTAAATTTGGGAGCACAACACTGAAAAGTATCAGTAGTCAAAAATAGAAATAGATACCATGAATGGAGGAGTCAGAGCATCAAAAAAATACATAGTAGGCCACAGCAACCATTGAAAAAGAGTAGTCATGGCCCTCTGCTGTGGCCCCGTAGCTGTGGGCCTCAACAAGGGCCATAAGGTGACTAAGAATGTGAGCAAACCGAGGCACAGCCGCCGCCGGGGACCTCTCACCAAACACACCAAGTTCGTGTGGGACATGATCCAGGAGGTGTGCGGTTTTGCCCCCTACCTGCGGCACACCATGGAGCTGCTCAAGGTCTCCAAGGACAAGCGGGCCCTCAAATTCATTAAGAAAAGGGTGGGGACGCATATCCGCACCAAGAGGAAGAGTGAAGAGCTGAGCAACGTGCTGACTGCCGTGAATAAGGCAGCTGCCAAGAAGGACTGAGCCCCTCCGAAATAAAGCTTTGCAGAACGTTTAAAAAAAAAAAAAAAAGTATGTAGTAGAACACATAGAGGTATCTCAGTGGTGCGTTAGCCTGGATGACAGACTGTAGTCTATTTTACTTTGATTGATAGAACATGAAGACATGCCAGATACTTTTTAGCCTTTCTAGAGTCAGACATCAATGAAACAACTCTTGCAACCTCAATACTTATGCAAACAGAATTGAGCCTTTCCTAGGTTTCCCTCTAGATGCTTAGAAAAAAATGACTTTTCTCCAGTTTGTCTTCATCCTATAGATTTTTATAGGTGTTACCACAAAATTTAAGCAAGTACACCTTTCTCATTAAATGTCTGACATGCTAAGAAAAGTACCTATCTTGTTATAAGTAAATTCCACATTAAGTTGCATTGGTCTCTTTAGACTTAGAATTTCATTCAAGTTGAGTTACTTTATTCTCTGACCTAAATTTTTAGCTCACTCGCAGATTTCTGGGTGATTTTGTTCTTTCTGTTTTTTTTTAAGTATTTACTTGAGAAGTAGTTCATGCACATATAGAATAGTTGCTACATGATAAATTAACTTACAGCACTCTTTTACATGGTGTTATGGTTTGTGTCTAGATATCTCCCCAAAGCCTCATGCAGTTGTGGGCTGGCCTTGTACAGTTTTTGATTGATTCTTGGTCCAACACTGGGATTACGGACATGAGTGTGACACCAGCCCTAGGGCAGGTAGCCTGCACACAATATAAAGAAGGGAAAGAGGCTTTCTCTCTCCTGCCACTCCTCCCTTTTGCTCTTGCTGCTTTTTCTGTTTGCTACTGCCATGAACTGCTGCCCTCTGCCATGTGCCCCTCTGCCTTGGAGCCAGCTGAGTATGGACTGAAACCTCCACAAACTGTGAGCTAAATAAACTTTTTCTTTCCTAATTTTGGATGTCGAGTATTTTGTCTCAACAATGAGAGAAAAGTAAACAAGACACCTGACATGATTTCCAGTAATACCAAATGAAGTCAGGGGATGACATTCTCAGATGCTAGGGTTTTTATTTTTTTATTTTTGTCTCTCTCTCTCCCTCTTTTTAAAAAATTCTTGAAGAAAAGTTTTCCAGTGGGAAGTTATGGGAAACAATTAAAAAAAAAAACACTGTCCTTTGAAAAGCATTAAGAAAGAAATCCCAGGGACCTGTCTCTTAGTTGAGTGTGTTTGAGGGAAAGATTCATTACGCGTGTAAATTTGTAAACCCCCTAGCATTTTAATATACTGGAAACTAGCCGGCCTTTTCTCTTTAGTAAAGATTTGTATCTGTTTTCCCTCTGCTCCTCCCCTTTGTATTATTGATGTCTCACTATCTTTTTTGTATTATACTTACAAGACTTCAATAATTTAGAAACCTATAAATAAGAATTTCTATAAAGAAATAGTACAAAAAGATAGGGAGGTGGCCAGGGAGATGTCTCAGTGGAATAAGCGCTTTCCTGGCAAGCGCAAGGGCCTGAGTTCAATCCCTGGTTCAAAAAAAAAAAAAAAAAGATAGGGAGGATGGCTGATTTAAAAGTCATTAAATACAATATGCTTAAAACTGATCTGGGCTCTATATCACAGCATATATGCAGTTATCTATCAAGTTACAGTGATGCTAACATATAATAATCCTGAAATAAGAACAAGTTACTCAGATTATTTAGCTGATGGGAAATCACTGTACTTTAGTTTTTATCTGTGTGTGTGTGTGTGTGTGTGTGTGTGTGTGTGTGTTTGACACAGAAGCTTAGTATATAGCTCAGGCTGGCCTTGAACTCACTGTGTAGTCCTGGCCCAGAACTCATGGCAATCTTCCTGCCTCTGTCTCCCCAGTGCTGGGATTATAGAATCCACAGTGCGCTGTGTCCCCCCGGCATGCATTTCCCCTTTTTTCTATTCAGGACAATGGCTCTGTTCATGATAGTTACTGAAGATAATAGAGCTGATCAACTGTTTATTAATGTCCCATTCAGTAACAGATCACTTCTTTTCTGGGTTGATTAATTGGTTTTTGATAAGAGAATGTAGAAGAATTGAAGTGTCTTTCACATTTCTCTGCAATAATGCCATGTCAATTTATTCAAGTTAATGGCCATTGAGATATTTGAGAAAGATGACCGGCCGCGTTCCTCAGGCATTTACTGGACAGGATTAATGTGAGCAGTCTGATCCTGTTGTCCTGTCCCAAAGGCTCAGTGTGTTGGCAGCTGTCCGCAGTTTATGCCCTACCTGCTGGCTGCTGGGCTACTTTGCTGCAGGCATTGTCTCTTTCACTTGCATTTCATTCTCCTTTTCCATTTTTCCATATATGAACCTGACAACTGTTAGTGTAAGTTTACAAATTGTTCCAGTAATTGCCTCCTTTCTTGGCATTCATCTAAGGAAGATTTTGTTTTGTTTTAGGTTTTTTTTTTTTAACTCTGGTATGCAGTTTGTTTAAATTTTGCTTAGATGGACAGACACCCCTCAACAAATCCTTGCCTGGGCAACAGGCCTTGTAGGGGTGGCCTTGGCATCGCATGCAGCGATAAGGAAAGGGGAGCTCAGTAGCATATCGACCCTGTCTACCAAGTCTTCTTCTAGATATTTTATTTTAATTAATTTATATAGTTTGAGTAGCGGGGATTGAACTCATGACTCTGTGCTTGCCAGGTAGGCACTTATAGTGAACTGTCTCCCTGGCCCCTCTTCTAGGTACTTAAAATTTAATTCTTTCCTCAGTTGCATCCAGTTGGCACTGATTTTGTTGTTGTTATTTTGTTTTGACCACTTTATGAAATACCTTTTATCTAATTACATCTTCATGTTATGTCTTCTGACCCTCTTCTTAATGAGGCAGTCTAAGAAAACAATGTCAAGAGGGTGCCCACATACTTCTACTTCTCTTTGTTCTCAGAAAAGGGAAAACTGTATTTCTCTTTACCAAGTAAGTCCGCTACTTTCAAATCTCCAGCATCGCTATGCCTTACCAATGAGATGCTACTTGTGACAGCGGAAATGATTAGAGGTTATCTGGGAGACCAAATTGCTTCTACTAGAGAATTACTGAGAGTATAGCATAATCTCCTTGACTTGCAGGTAGATAATAGTAAATAAATGTATATTGTTTATTTTGACACTTCATATAGGAAAATAGGAAGATGTTACTTCAAGCATTTATGCTTTCATGTCCCGTCCCTAAGTCTGTCAAACAACAATGTTAAAGGACATCGGATTTCACCATGAAGTGATTTTCTCAGGGAGGAAGCGTATCTTGGTCACCTGGGAAATGTACTACTCCCGCACCAAGGCGTTCAAGCGACTCACAGGAGTGACAGCGAGAGAATGTGGTTCTGCTAAAACAGTGGGTGCATGGAATGTGTGTTTTTGGTAAAAACATAGAAGAGCTTCAGTGAGTCACTATATGAACAACTCTGTTCTCTTTAAAAGAATATTGATGAACAGGAATAAACTATGTCCACGGAAATAAAAAAGGGAAATTGCCCCTGGCGTGTCCACTTTAGTTTCTTCCCCATGTTTATGGATTAGTAGCCATGTTATTTAATACTTATTGAGTGACCCACTTATCTAGAGGACTGTGGACATTATCGACATGACATGGACACTGCCTTTTGGAAACTATTTTGCAAACTACTTTGATTCAAGTGTTATAACGCTCTTGGAAACAAAGCAATAAAAGAAGCAGCCTCTAGTAATAGGTGTTTATCTGTAGGATCTATAAAAGGTTTAAAGAATGGTTAAATTTACTATGTGTGCAAAAGCAATAATACCTAAAATGTTGAGCCATAGACAGCTTCTGTCCACTGTTGCCTCAGTTTTCATTACATTCTTCTTGACCCCAAAATATCTTGATGCAAACAATGTGAAAACAAATTAATTAATATAAGTTCCTTTTAAGCAAATTTACAGATTGGGAGAGTCACTTTGTAGCTCTACCGGCTTGCCGACCACTTGTTGGAACAATAGAAGAAAACTAGAACTTCAGAGTGCACAGTTCTACCTTATTTTATTTTTATATGGTATTCCAATTTCAGACAAAGGAAAATAATTTTTATCATGTGCTGGGTGATTGTATATAATCTTTAGCCTACAGTAAGATCTTGTTTTTCTTTTTTAATTAAATGTGAAAACATACTCTTAAGAGAGCAGTTTGGGCATTGAATTCTTTTTACTTGCAAATGAAAATATTGGAAATAAGATTGCAAATGTAAATAGATTCTGGTGGAAGATGAAACCTCAGGATAGCATGTACCGCAGGCTCAAATCAGAGAAAGGTAGGCAAGGTGAGGAAGGGCAGCAGACAGCAGAAAAGCAAGTTAGCCAGAAAGAGGAAACCAAGGCAAAGGAAATTGAAAGTTGCTGTGGAAAATGATTATCTTTTAAGAACAATCTCAAAAAAGACCAAGATACTAATTTCTGGTAGTCTATTGATACATTGTTTATAAGTTTTGAAAGAATGAATGTTAATTTCTTATTAATGCATAGCCACATTATTTCACAAATATATTTTATAGTATTGAAATTTTATGTGTGGTACAGAATTTTTTTCTCAATCACTAAACAAACTTTAAAGATTGTTTAGTAGCATTTGCCAAATAACTGTATTTTCATCAAAGATTCTCTATTTTCAAAATTTACATTTTGAGGGATAAATATTTCCTGGCATATCTGTTCTCTCCATTAAATGATAGTTTCACTTTGTTTTAAATGCAGCTGTCATCTAAACATAAGTAAATCCATAAATCCAAGGAACTGGGGCTAATAATTAAACCCTAGACATGAGAATATTAGAGATAGGAAGGAGCTGAAGTTTTTCTCAGGTGCAAGAATGAAGCTTGCTGACAGATACTATTTTCCATATCATAGGTTTTTGTTGTTATTCTCTTGAGGGGTGTGTGTGTGTGTGTGTGTGTGTGTGTGTGTTTCTGTCTGACAGATATGATTTT